GTATATTAAAAAAAAAAAAATCTACACTTTGAGGGCATAATTGTCAGGTAAAAGTGAAAAACCCAAGAACTAAATTACCAAACCCTATTTATCCTTTTACTAAAATCTACAGTTTTGAGGGCATACTTGTGCGCACTTTGAGCTTCATTTGTGTTCCAAACCCAAAACCTCCCGCCGCCGCGCCGCCGCCGACAACCTCCGGTCCTTCATGGTAAGATCTACAGTTCTCCCTTTCAACGTTTTAGATCCCTCACATTTTTTATCAATTGCCATTTTCCACTCGTCGGCGCGTGCCCTGATGCTTCTGGTTTTGCCGTGTGTTTTGAAAAGCAGGCGTCGGATAAGAAACTGTCGAACCCAATGAGGGAGATCAAGGTCCAGAAGCTGGTCCTCAACATCTCCGTCGGCGAAAGCGGTGACCGTCTCACCAGGGCTGCAAAGGTGATCGTCAATCATTAAGTGCCGTTGCTAGTGTTTTCCTGTCCGCTCGCTGTGTATGGATTTTCGTTTTTTCGGCAATTCATTGTATTAAGTTGATAAGTTCTGTTTGTGTCTGTAGGTGTTGGAGCAACTCAGTGGGCAGACGCCCGTTTTCTCGAAAGGTAAGATTATTATTTACCGGTGATTTATTTTTTGTGTTACTTATTATGAAGAAAATAGTTGATGTTCGATCTAAGTTGTTCGACATGCTTGCATAGAGAAATATGGATGTTTATGAGTGATTGTGTTGTTTCCTGTACTGTGCGGACATTTGTCTCAGTATACACTCAGCTCGATAATTGGTTCGAAAGTATGAGCCTTCTGTTCTATGTTCTATTAAATGTCTGATAATTGGATACTAAGACTATATTTGGTAAACCAAGCTGTTAAACTAACTTATAGCTTCAAGTGAATTTTGAGTTTATTGAGTTTATAGCTGACGCATGACTTATGACTGAAGAACTAGTTTATATGATAAAAGTGTTTTATGAATTAATTGATACGCTAACTGAAATAAAAAGTTGAATGAGCTTATTTGAAAAGCTACTCAAGGAAGCTTATGAGATAAATTCGAGTTTTTCAAACAAACTCGTCCACTCAAACTAGGTTTATTTAAATATAGAAAGCTTATAAGCTAATCAGATAAGTTTTAAGCTAGCTTATATGCTTACTAAACACAACCTAAAATATTCAAAAGCCATGAAATGTGTTATATGCGCCAGAAATCTTATATATATATATGACCTAGTAGAATATAACTCAAGCGATGTGAGTGGGAGGCTCGAAAACATATCTATAGATGTAATGTTATCGAATATCTGTGTGAGGTCTCCTTTTACTTGTTTTTTCTTTTCCTTTTATTCTCGTAGTGTGGTGTAAACTCACTTGAAATAAATTAGGTTACTTGGTACTTTGTTCGGTTATGCTGTAATATTTCTTCCCAAGCAATACTGCCGTGGAACGTGACAGACTTCTCCTAAAGATTTTCAAATTCGAAGCCATTGCTGCTGTCTCGTATGAAAATCCACTATCTAAATGTGGCGGTGTTGTGATTTTGGCCTGGTCCCAAAACTTGCTTTCCATCAATTCCCATCTTGTACACGATGAAAGATGCAAGGGATTCTCCGAACAATGTTTTCATGCTTACCCTTTATATGAATGATACAAAACACAAGTCTATACACATAGGCCAATAATATCCAAGTTACTACATTATACTCACACGGTTCTGTCTCTTGATTGACAGCAAGGTACACTGTACGGTCCTTTGGGATCAGAAGAAATGAAAAGATTGCTTGCTATGTGACTGTCAGAGGCGACAAGGCAATGCAGCTTCTCGAAAGCGGCCTGAAGGTCAAGGAATACGAATTGCTGAGAAGGAACTTTAGTGAGACTGGGTGCTTCGGTTTTGGCATTCAGGAGCACATTGATCTCGGCATAAAGTAAGAAGCAAGTCTCTTTTTTGCCTGGTCTTTGTTGCAAACACATATATAATACTTGAATTAAATTCAATTTTTCACTCGAAAACTGAAAATTTATCAAACTTCACTCATTTTCAGGTACGACCCATCAACTGGGATCTATGGTATGGATTTCTATGTTGTCTTGGAGAGGCCCGGTTATCGTGTGGGCCGCCGCCGAAGGTGCAAATCGCGTGTTGGAATCCAGCACAGGGTCACGAAGGAGGATTCCATGAAGTGGTTTCAGGTGAAATACGAAGGTGTCATTCTCAACAAGGCATCTAACATTGGAGCTTAGGGGATTTTTACCCTTCTTGATATTTATATGCTTTTCACTGGTTATAATTGTTTTTTTCTTTTTTTCTTCTTTTTTTTTGGAGGG